CTTTCCTCTCCCTCTCTCTCTCTTTCCTCTCTTTTTTCTCTTTCCTCTCCCTCTCTCTCTTTCCTCTTTTTTTCTTTCCTCTCTTTCTTTCTCTTTCCACTCTCTTACTCTCTCTTTGTTTCCTCCCTCTTTCTCTTTCTCTCTCTTTCTTCTTTCTCTTTCTCTCTCTCTTTCCTCTCTCTTTTCCTCTGTTTCTCTCTTTCCTCTCTCTCTTTCTCTCTCTCTCTCTCTTACGGCTGCATCGTCGGGGGTCCCCATCGCCCCCGGCCTGGCCGCCGCCCCCGCTGGGACTCCATGCTGCCCAGCCTCGCCCTCCATCCATCGATGGAGCTGCGGTGGGGACAGTGCCCGCCAGAGCTGCCTGGGGGGCAGCAGGAGGGAGAGGAGGAGGGCGAGGAAGCAGCCGCCCCATACGGGACTCTGTGCTGCCTGGCCTCGCCCTCTGCCCATTGATGGGGGGCTGGTGCCACGCGGCCCCTGCCAGCCCCTCTGCCAGCCCGGCTGCTCCCCCCAGGCACCCCTTTTGTCCCGGCGCACGCCCGAGCCGCCCGGGGGGCACCAGGAGGAAGGAGAGGAGGGCGAGGAAACCACCGTCGCTGCCCCAGCCAGGACTCCACGCTGCCTGGCCTCACCCTCCACCCATCCAATGGAGCCGCGGTGGGGGCTGGTGCCGCGGAACCCCTGCCAGCCCCTCCACCAGCCTGGCTGCTTCCCCCCAGCTACCCCTCTTGTCCCGGCGCCCGCCCGAGCCACCTGGGGGGCAGCAGGAGGAAGAAGGGGAGAAGGAAGAGGAGGGCAAGGAGATAGAGGAGCGGTGTCTCAGTTCCTAAGACCATCGGAAATATGTGTTTTCCGATGGTTTTAGGTGACCCCTGTGAAAAGGTCGTTCGACCCCCAAAGGGGTCCAGACCCACAGGTGAGAACCACTGATCTAGAATCTAACTTAAAACAATGCCTTGTGTTACTGAGAAGTTTATTAGAAAATATGAGTTGTGCTGTATTTATTCTGCTGCTTTCAGAAATTCAGTCCTATAAAGTTGCTTCAATACAGTATGTCCAAATGTGTAAATTGCTCTCTATGCCTAGTTTTGAACTGTTTACTTTATTTGATGCACATATGAACAAGCAAGATGGTTAAAATTCAACAAACAAGAAGTTTAAACAGAAATTTTAAAAATTCCTCTGGATGGTCACACAGTTCTCCCCATAAGAGTCTTTGTAGCACTACTGTATATCCCAAATTAACATCATAGGAGATGGGATGATCTCAAAAAAGCTAAACTGGAATGGATCTGGTTACACTCAGATGGGGAGACTACTACAAAATCTAAGAGTTGAAGAACTATAAGCTAGATTCAATAGTTGAAAACAAGTTGAGGACAATAATTAGAAATCACTTTTATTATTTTCATGAGAATTACAAGGCTTATTCCATGAAATTACTACACATCATGTTTAGCCTTTATTTTAAACTATAATAAATTCCTCTGAAATAAATTATATACAGGTAGTCCTCAACTTACAACCACAACTGAACCCAGAATTTATGTTACTAAGTGAGAAATTTGTTAAGTGAGTTTTGCTCCATTTTACAACTTTTCTTGCCACATTCATTAAGTGAATCACTGCTGTTGTTAAATTAGTAATGGTTGTTAAATGAATCTGGCTTCCCCACTGACTTTGCTTGTCAGAAGGTTGCAAAAGGTGATCACATGACCCTGGGACACTGCAACTGTCATAAATATGAACCAGTTGTCAAGCATCCGAATGTAAATCACATGACCATGGGGATGCTGCAACAGTCATAAGTGTGAAAAATGGTCATAAGTCACTTTTTTCAATGCTGTTGTAACTTCGAAAGGTCACTAAATGAACTTTTGTAAGTCAAGAACTACTTGTAATGCAAAGTGCTTATTTTACAATGTGTATATGGTGATCTCATACACTAATTAATTTTGGGTAGCTCATTGTCATTTGCACAACTAGTAACTGCATTTTCAATAAATGTTTATATCTTTATCAATAATTGGCATATAAAAGCATATACCACAAAAAGAGTCACAGTGGTGCAGTGGTTAGAATAGAGTACTGCAGGCTAACTCATTGCTCACTCCAGGAGTTTGATTCTCACCAGCTCAAGGCTGACTCAGCCTTCCATCCTTCCGAGGTTGGTAAAATGAGGACCCAGATTGTTGGGGGCAATATGCTGACTCTGTAAAGTGCTTAGAGAGGGCTGTAAAAGCATTATGAAGCAATATATAAGTCTAAGTGCTATTGCTATACAGATAAAAGATAACTCTAAAGAGTTATCATTGTATACAAACAAAAGGGTATGTGTTAGGCAATAAATATGTATATGTGTAAATATGTATTCATGTAAAGATTGTTTGTACTCAATCTTTGTTCCTAAAAATGACAAATCATTTTGCACAAATGTCCACACTTCTTAAGTATACAAGTTATTTTGTCACTCATTTACCATGGTCCAAAAATATAGTCCAAGAGAAAGGAAAAACTGCACTATTTAGTTTTTCTAGCTCAAGAGATTCACTCGCACTGTTAAGGTATCTTTAAAGACTTCTTGTAAATGACACATTTACAGCTAATAATGAGGCCATTACTATTATCAACATTCCTCCTGGGCACTTGAATTTCTCTGCCTTGATATATGAATCAAGAGGAAAACAGATGTTTTAATTTGCTTTTTTAGAAGTTATAACCAGCACCACAGCTGGCACTTCATAAACTACTTGATAAATGGAACCAAGCCAGCATTTCCGAAAAATAGCTCTCAGTAGCATTTTGGTTGACAAAGTTTACCTGACAGGTAACTAATATTAGAGTAATAATAAATGCGTACAAGATGCTATTCTTAATTTAGATGGAGTATTTATAAAGCATATGGACACTACAACCACAGCAAGTTCCCTACTGGCTAATAAGTACTATCCTTCGTCTTCCTTCATTTTAAATTAAGTTAAAAATTGGCTCATTTTCCCTAATAAAACAATAACCAAAGTCTTGGAATCAACTTATTTTCAAAGTTCAAAGCTAAGCATTTTCATAAATTTAATAGAGCCATTTTCCTAAATGTAATAGAGCCATATTATATTTTCTCATAACTTTTAAGCAATGTATAAGAATGGAATGTTGCAGAATAGTTAGATGTTCTGTAATTTAGAATACCTAGTGGTGTTTTCTCTTGGACGGACTCCTGAAAGCAAGAGAAAGGAGTCAATAAAATTCCATGGCAAAATTTGAAATTTGAAGGTAGAATTTAATAAAGTAGCAAGCCGGTGGGGAACAAATAAGTTGAAACTTATGTTTATAATTTTAATTGTCAAATTATAGCCTTTGGTCTATGAAGTTTCAGAAAAGAATATTACACCTTCAGGAAGAAGAGTGAAAACTGAACATTAGCATTTGATCTGATTAGTTACCTAAGCAAGAAGAGATAGTAAGACAAGTGGGTAGAACTATTGAAAAGGGGCAATTTTATTTGCTGCTTTTCCACATCAGGTGAGTTTCCTCCTTCCTCACCTCAGAGAGAAAGAGGTGCTACTGCTGTTTTTTCTCAGTTGTAAAAGTTCTGGTCCTTTCTTAGTAAATGTTATCAACAATTTGGAATCAAGAGGAGTAATGTTGCCCATATTAGTGCCCAACTTTGAAAAATAGAAAAGGACAGAGAAGTAGTAGTTTTTAAAATTTCCTGGAAAAGGGTAATTAAGCCAGTATAATTACATAATACATGGGTGCTTGCCTTCAACAAAATTCTGTAGTCTGAATGGATGCAATTTTTTGCTTTTAGTTTTCAAATCCAGTGAAGAGAAAATCATGGTATTCAATTTTATACACCATAGTCCCAGGGATTATAAAACAACTGTATCAAAATTTGCCCTCAATTTATCTTCTCTATATACTAAGATAATTAATTATGCATTCAAGATAAAATAAGGATCTTATAAAGATTTCTAAGTTATATGTTGAAATTAAAATATTAGACATTACATACTTAGATTAAATGCAACATAAATGCATTAGCAAAACACTTTTTAATAAAAGTGAAATAATATTCAGATATGGCACAGTCCATCAATAATATACTACACCAAAATCAACACATTTCACTCAACCTAACTAGGTGGAATCTGCAGTCTACATATTATAAATTAATTTAAATGAAATCTAAAAATCCAGTCTAGATCTAGTGTAGTGTCTATTCACATAACAATCAAGAAAAATCTGGCTTATCTGTGTGTCCAGTATATGCTTTCCGTAAGCAAGAAAGCTACAAATCATTTATCTACAGTTTTCTTTAAGATCCTGAAACTCTAGGGTGCAAAAGAAGTCAAAGAAATAGAATAGGTTATGACAATCTAGAAAGAACAGAAACAAAGGTGTTGAGCTTAATCATTCAGAAGAAAGTGACCAGGTGTATTCACAGGTAAACCAGCTTAAACTATATTGTGGATAGGGAAAATTACTGATCTTTACCATAGAATATTGTAGCTCTAACCAAAGACAATTATATCAATTAATTACATTTGTACAGATCAAGAGCAGTTCAGGTATGCATTATTTAGACTATTTTAACTGGCATTTTACTTGCAAAGTTTCAGTGCAAAATGTAACAAAATATTGCTATCAAAATGAAACCACAGGTTCAATCCTACCTGCACTAGTTCAAGAGAAATCTCTCATATGACAGCACTTTCATTTTCTAGTTTGCTAGGATTTATCCTGATGAGAGTAACTTTAGACAATTTTTACGTGCGTGCCCTTCTCCCAATTCTTCCAGCATAGAAACTAAAAAACAGGAAGCTTCCACTGCCATTTCTAGTTTCTTGTTTATGAATCCTTGTTCCCTGCATTTTTCTCCGCACAATAAAAGCCCAACTCATACAGATAAGCAAAGCGACGGCGTTCGAGAAGAATCAGTAGCTTATTTTTGCATTTAAGGAACCCACCGCCCACCCCAGCTCCGCGTGCAATCTACTAACCTGTTTTGGAAACGGAACGCGGACGGAGGCGTCGAAACAGCTGCTCCAGGACGACGCGGAAGCCGATAAAATAGACCCAAAGGGCAGGCATTACCAAGGACAATAGCGACATGGCTGCTAGGCCGCGCTGAAGGTCAGACGCCGCCTTAGATTCCCTTCTGTACCTTGGTCGGTGAAGAGCCAGTTTCCAACTTACCAGGGCAGTCGAGGAATCGGCACAACGCCGTCAGAACCCTACTAGGTAGCCACACCCAGCGGAAGAGGATTCCGGCCTCCCGCCTTCAATGGGGCGATCGGTTCCTTTCTGAGCATGTGCGCTGGTGATCGGTATTCTCATCCTTTCGTGTATGGTTTCTCTCTGCTCCCTCCCTATCGCCCACTTGTCGCGGGGGGTCGAGAGAGATGCTGCATGGAAAGTTACAGATAGAGTGAAGAGGGAACATGATCCCACTCACGTAGTTATTTTTAAGGTTTAATAGTGCTGTCTGCCTCAAATGTGTCAAGACTCGTGTTAATTTGTTTCTCAGGTTCCTTCACAACCCATGTACACCATTTACCACTCTTCAGAATGGAAAATATTAGGGGATATTGCTATTCTTGCCCTTAGACAGTACAGGTAATCTTTGACCAAAATTTCTGTTGCTAAGCAAGACAGTTAAGTGAATTTTGCCCCATTTTACATCCTTTCTTGCCACAGTTGTTAAGGGAATCACTGCAGTTGTGAAGTTAGTAACAGGATTGTTAAATGAATCTGGCTTCCCCACTGACTTTGCTTGTCAGAAGGTCACAAAAGCAGTCATGTGACCCTAGAACACTGCAACCATCATAAATCTGGGCCAGGTGCCAAGCGTCTGAATTTTGATCGTGTGACCATGGGAATGCTACAACAGTTTTGTGAAAAATGATTATAAGTCACTTTTTTCGTGCCGTAATTTTGAACAGTCACTAAACAAACTGTTGTAAGTGGAGGACTACCTGTACCTAAAGACAGGAACTCTGTCTTTTCCTGATCTTATTTCCACTATTAAATCAATCAGACACATCTATGATACTCAACAATATCAGTGTGCAATGTTGTGATCTAATTCCCAATAGCATTGCCTGTTTTACAGTTTGGTTTATGCCATTAGATTAATGCACATTTTTAATGTATTTGTTATAACCTGTTTTAATAAACCAGGTCAGAATATGCATAAAATATGTGCTACCTCCTGAAAATACAGGGTAACAAACACTACACCAACAGAACTAGAGGGTCATTTTACATTGTGTCATTAAAATAAACTTAAAAGAAAGTGTAACTTCATGCATCCTATTCTATCATTAGCACATGGATGGTTGATAAAAATGTGCTATATAGAAGAATCCTGGAATATGACTGAGTTGACACCTCAAACTAATCAAGATATTTTGAATCACATCATTGGTTCTTATAGATCAGTGCTAAATAAATACAGCTTTGCAGTATCCATGGGAATACCCTCCCCCTCAAAAAAGAAAAATGAAGAAACCTGTCAATTGTATTTGTTGTAAATGGGGATGCCATTTTTATCAGAGGGCCTATGTTCTAATCAGACAGCTTACTTAGCAATAATTCTATGCTCAAATGAAACCCTAAAAGAATTAGCTGGCACTATCAATATATGGGATTTTTTTCGACAGATCTGCCCAGCAATGTCTTTAACCACCCTAAAAAAATGCAGCAATTGCTAGAAGTCAGAAATTGAAAAAAAAGATGCAATGTGTATTGCTTTATCCCCTAGGCCTAGGACAAACATTGCACATCCCAGTAGTCTTTTCAGACTTCTGACTAACCATCATTTGTCAGAAACAAATGTTTTTGTTATATGTTAAAGCAATCCTGCACTATTCCCAAACTTGTTTTATAGGGTGAGTAGGAAAAATTGGAGTGCATTACCTCTTTCCTTTTTCAGTATTTTTTTCCCATAACTTGTCTCTTTTCACTATAAACCTCATTTGCTGCTGGACTGTATCTCCATGGCTTGGGAATCCATGAATTAATTCCCTTATTGTGCTGTGCTAATCTAAAATTAAAAACTACATTTTGGCTTAATACAATATGTTAACCCAGCTAACAAAACTCAAGCAGATTATTTATTGATCGATATATCAGAGTATTGAATCATTAAACTGCTAATCAGAAAGCAAGTAGATATATTTATTAAAAGAAGTTACTGAAACTATTAGCCCATTCCACTGTGGAAATAAAAAAATGAATACAGCAATGGTTAACTGACAATAATCAAAATAAAGTACTGGGGGTATCAGAAAAAGACATGTTTTTCTCTTTTTCAAATATTGCATAAAAATTCACTAACATTGGAAAGGCCAACCACAAATAGCAGACCTTCTGTAGGTGTAAACCCACAGCTGATGTAAATAGTGTGTTTTGGAAGTTCACGTAAACCAATTGTACTATGTGTAACAGCTAGGAAACTGTCTGTGATATTGTAGATGAGCAGGCTGACCTGGAGGGCAGGATTAAATGCATCATCAGTTTGGAATCATTGCGCAGTCACAAGAGACCAAGTCCAGCCACCCATGAATTTTGTTAACACTTATCTAGTGCCAATTTATCTTTGACCATTAGTTGCTCAAATTCTTCTGTACCGTGGCAAGAATCAACTCTTAATGCTTCGACCTCAACTTCTGTTCCTGGTTATTTGTGCCTGACGGATATTTTGAGAATTATGAAGTCCCTCATCATATTATACAAATTTTCAATATCCCTGAGAGAGATTCCATTCTTAACATGCGTAAGGAAGGACCACAAAGGGATTAGGTTGCTTTGTTTAAGTAAATGAGAAATAGCTTAATATGTTAATAGTTTTCTTCAATGTGACTCATCCCTGAAGTATGATGTATATAGCCATGCTTCCACTTCCAACAACAAAAATGAATAAATAGCAGTTCTTATGTACACAGGACTGCAACTCCTGGTTTTTTCTTTATAGGGACGGTATCTTGCAGGTATAAAATCCCTCCTTTGACACTTCTGCATCTGAGATACCATCTTCTGCCAAATAGCCTGTTCTCAGTTTTCTGAGATGGCCAAAAGTGTTCTGGTAGCACCTTTTCAGATTTTAACGTATTTTATTCAAAAGAATATTAAAAATTTAAAAGGGGCGTTGTCTTACCTGAACGCCTTTTCTCAGCACGGAGATGGATAATCCACTAACTTAATCCTCCTGCCCAATCAGATCAAGTCAGCCAAACTTGCCACGCCTGTCCTGGGTCTGTTTTCCCAGTCTCGACGAGGGTGCTGCTAATGACTGATAGCAGGACGTGTTGGCTCACAGAAACTGACCCTAGGCCTAAGGACCTGAATGGGTGGGTGTGGATTATCCATCTCCATGCTGAGAAAAGGCGTTCAGGTAAGACAACGCCCCTTCTCCAGCACTTGAGATGGATAATCCACTAATGGGACATACCAAAGCCCACTTGTCCTACGGGAGGGAAGCAGGCAAGTTTGGAACCGTGTCGCGAGGCACCACCTGCTGGAGGACCCTCCTGCCAAAGGATGCCTCGGCGGATGGGTACCTGTCCAGTTTATAATGCCGTATAAACGGTGAAGGGGAAGACCATGTGGCCGCCCTACATACTTCCTCGATGGAAGCCTGCGTGGCCCAAGCCGCAGAAGTGGCCGCTCTGCATGACACGACGTGGAACCGGCAAGGAATCGGACTGGTATGCCCCCGCAATGCAAGCTCTTATCCACCGGCCGATTGTGGAGGCCGAGACCTTCCGACACTTGGAAGAAGGGTGGAAGGAGACAAAAAGTGCCTCAGAGCTGCGGAAGGCAGCTGTCTGTTTGATATAATAACGGAGAGCCCGGCGGACGTCCAGAGAATGCCATTGACGTTCCAGATCATGGGAAGGATTAGGGCAGAAATCAGGAAGGACGATATCCTGGGCCCTATGAAAAAGAGAATTAACTTTGGGGACAAAGGTGGGGTCTAAACAAAGGGTGACCCGGTCCCGGTGAAAGACACACAGATCCTCCCTGACTGAGAGAGCCGCCATCTCAGAAATACGCCGGGCCGAAGTAATAGCCACCAAGAAGGCGACCTTAAGGGATAAGGACCTCATGTCGCACGAACTGAGGGGTTCGAAAGGAGCCTTTGTAAGAGCCTGAAGGACCCGAGGTAATTCCCACGAGGGATACCTGTGGACCACAGGTGGCCTGGTATTAGTAGCACCCTTGAGGAAAGAACGGATCAAGGGATGCTGACCCAGAGAGTTAACAGTATCGCAAGAAAGCAAGGTAGAAAGGGCTGTCACCTGTCTACGCAAAGTGTTAGGCGCCAATCCTTTATTCAGCCCCTCCAGTAAATAGTCTAGAATATGTGGGATGGTCAATCCTGATAAGGGTAGTTGATGAGTGGAACACCACCGACAAAAGTTCTGCCACGTGGCATCGTAGATGCGGTTAGTAGCCAGCCTACGGGATGCCTGAATTACATCAATGACCCCTGGCGAACAGGACTCCTGGGATAGGAGCCAGCGTTCAAGTGCCAAACGGCTAACTGGAGCCATTGAGGGTCCGGGTGAATCAGATCCCCCTGGGTCAGTGATACTCGGTCTGGAGGGATTTTCCAAGGGCGCGATAGGGAAAGACTGACGAGGTCGGCAAACCAAGGTCTCCGCAGCCAGAAAGGGGCTACCAAGAGAACCTCTGCCCTCTCCTGCAGAAGCTTGCGGATGACCACTGGGAGAAGGGGAAGAGGGGGAAAGGCATAGAGTAGGCCATCCGGCCATGGAACCCGAAGGGCATCTACTCCCTCTGCCCCCTGAACTGGGAAGCGCGAAAAGAACCGCAGGAGTTGCGCATTTGTCTGGGAGGCAAACAGATCTATGATGGGAAGACCGAATCTGTGGGTGATTTCCCTGAATAACCTCGGGTGCAGACACCATTCCGAGTGGTCCACGGTTGACCTGCTCAGGAAGTCTGCCTTCTTGTTTGCCTCCCCCGAGATGTGGTCCGCCCTGATCGAGGTGAGGTTGGTCTCTGCCCAGGAGCCCGGCTGCTGGGCCTCAGTTAGGAGCGCACGGGATTGGGTGCCCCTCTGCCGGTTCACATGGGCCTTTGCCGCCACATTGTCCATGAGGACAAGCATGTGTTGCTTTGCTATGCTGTGGCGAAAGTGGCGGAGGGCTAGATGTATGGCCCTGAGTTCCAGCCAATTGATATTGTGTCTCAGGTCCGACCGAGACCACCGTCCTTGGGCCCAT